ACGCTATCTTGGATTTCTACGCTTCGCATCAGACTTGAGCCAAATGAATATTCATTCCGGAAACTACAGTCCTAGACGAACAATTTGACATATAAAACTTGCTGTTGACTGACATAGACCACTTCGATGTCATTTTACCCTATGAATTTGCAGCACTTTATTCTGTAAACATCAAAGTCGCTGCCGACTTTATCAGCACAATCTCGTATTATTTACTCATTTTAATTTATATGCATGTAAATTTACACAGTCAATGTGATGTTGCGTGCAGTTACTGCCAAATATAGTAAGATCGATTCAGGGTGTTATCTTTTTAAACTCGCTGGTTAAAACGTGTCAGGGGTCGTATAAATTATGCAATGTTTACATTGGCGAATCACAGGGGCAGTGTGTACAATCGAGCTGCATATCATGTCATCTAAATGTGTTAATTTCAGTCAATTATCGGCGGTAAATGCGATCTTTATGTTATGCCTAGAGGCAAGGATTAGATTATTGACAAGCGCTGTGTGATACGTAAAGATATGTTCATGCGGTAAGTAAAAATGCGCGGCGATTAATTGTAAGATTACTTTTCATTAGGTTATTTTTTTTTTTTTACAAGAAAATGAAAATCCACGAATTTAAGAACCCACGAAAAGGCCCGTTTTGATAAAACCACGAAATTTCATGCCCACGAATATAAGTGAATTTGCAGTATTGTCATTTTTACCTTGTACTGTGGGGCAAACATGGCAGAGTTGTTAAGGTCATTGACTTCAAATTACTTTCCCTTCATTGCTATGGGATTGAATAGGGTTTGAATCCCAACAGGGACTTTGGATTCTTTCATGTGAGGAAGCTATCCAGCTGAAACACTGGATGTTGTTGGTTGTATTTAGGTGTGTGCACATTCTTGAAATAATGTACAGAGGGGCACCTGAGGTCTTCTTAAGACTCCACCAGTAAAGCTGGAAAGTCACCATATGACCTATACTGTTGTTTGTGCAACATAAAACCCAACCAAAAAAAAATTTGTACTGTATAGTGTTGGGGAAATAAGGACAATTTAGAAAATGTTGTTTCATTTATTTAGTTTGGCTTGAAGCAGACAGACAAAGATTCCTTGCTAAATACAAAACATTCTTACATGCATTTGATCTCTGCAGGTTATTGCATGTAGTGTTACATGTGGTCTACTATTTTTTGTCAGGCCAAGCCCAATAAAAAAATCTTTGTTTCTGGTTCAACAGATATTTGGCATGATGCAGAAATATCATTTTAAATCTGTATTCTAATGTTCCGCCTCAGCAATATTTGTGTTGTCAATCCAAAAAGTTTTTTTGACTATGAAAGATTACTTCTGGAAAATGCAGAGAAAAAGGATACCAAAAAGAAAAAAAGAATTTTTTACTGGCATTATTTCTGAAGCCTGCAAGGAAGAGCAGGAAACTGACTGCGAAAGTGCCATTGAATGAAGTTGTTACTTACTTACAATGCTGTGGGATAAGTAGTCGGTCATGTTGGTAGAGATTGGTAATCTACTAAGAGTTACCGGAAGCGGGTTGGGTTCGTGTTTATGACAATGGAATGTCATGATAAAGGAATATGTTTTGGAATTGGTAAAAAATACCAGACAAGGAAACTTACTTAGTTATCTGAGTAATGATGGTCAAGTGTACAGACAAAGGAGAAATGATCAAGAAAATGTGTTGAAATTGGCATAAATGTACCAGACAAACAAACTTAACCAAACTCACCTACTGTCTACCTTTTATTATAAGAAAGAGAAATGACCTGATACAGAACTTGTGACATTTGGGAGTAGGGAATGTACACTACATTAATAATACAAGTAATAGCTATGACTAGATACAGAGTTCTCTTTTTATGATGATTCATCAAGCTGGTAAAGCATGAATACAGAAAGATGAATTTTATTGTTTCTTTTTTCCTCACTTAATTTTTCATTTAAACATATATCGTGCCATGTTACAGTTCTTGTTCCAAGTTGTTATCTAAACACATACAACTTTGGCAGCTTTAATTTATAAAAAGCTTGTTTTCATTTTCAGCAGTCTATAAATAAGTTATAAAAGGATTTTTTTTTAATATCTAAAAGATTTTAGGTCATGCATTTGAGCTGAGAAATTTTCTATGAAACTTCAGAAATACTTGTTTTAAATGTTCAATTTTTATAAAATTGACTGTATGATGAATTGTTAATATCATATTTAACTCTGGGTAAAAGTAATGTATGATTTGCCTAAGTTTTGTCGCATACCAAACTTCGGTTTTTAATTTATCTTGTTCTAGAGTGATAGACTAGTAATAAAATATTACCTCTAGTTATTTTTGAAAGTTTTTTTTTTGTCTCTGACAACCAGACTATGATAAAAATAAGTTAGAACAAAAAAGAAATGAGCCGCGTCACGACAAAACCAACATAGTGCGTTTGCGACCAGCATGGATCCAGACCAGCCTGCGCCTCCGCGCAGTCTGATCAGGATCCATGCTGTTCGCTTACAAACTTTATTACAAATAGAGAAACTGATAGTGAACAGCATGGATCCTGATCAGACTGCGCGGACGCGCAGGCTGGTCTGGATCCATGCTGGTCGCAAACGCATTACGTTGGTTTTGTCGTGACTTGGCTCAAATTCTGTTTGTTTAAGGTCAAATTTCTGTTTGTAATATATTTCATTCATATACTGTGAGTAGTTAAAGGGACTTCACTGAGGTTTTCAATCATGACAGGACCAAAATAATTATTCCAATTGCAAAATGACACAAAATTGAAAAGCTTTACAATGCTTTCTCTTGAATTAGGCTAAAAATAACACAAAAATTCAATTTTCAATTTCTTTCTATTTCTTTCTATATCATTTGCCTATCGTTCTGTTATAAAAGCCCCAACTTATCTTTAACAAGATATTTCTTGTTGTTTTATGTCTTTACAAGTAAGTTACAACTTCTTCTCACAGATCACATGAATCATAGCTAAATACTATTTATCTCCAAACTATTATATTGTGATATTCTTAGACTTATCATCTTCCGATAAAATGTAACAGTAAAAACTTACACACACATTTAAATGTGTTGGCCTAACAGAAAACATGTTCCTAAGTTATGAGAGGTGAATAGACTTCATTTTAAGCCAGACATTGTAAAAAAATAACCCCTGTAAGACTAGAAATACTAGCTTCTTTGAAATCGGTAATATATTTAATGCCGTAATAGATTTACCATTTCCAGCACAATTTTTACGAGCCTCTCCAAGCATCTCTGTGTGGAGATATTATATTTTTGATGTTTATTGCTCATCATTTTATGCTGCATATTTTTATTGCCGCTCTTGATAGATGCAGTCTTTGTATCGTGCCTGTGCAGCACAACTTTCTGTAGAGGTGAAACTTTCTGTAGAATTAACATGGCGGAGAAAACTTGAGAAATGGGGTTTTATTGGTCGATATTGTTCCTTTTTTGTTTTTCTTTTGTAATAATTATGATGTAATTACAAATGAATAGGAATGTGTGTGCATCTGTGCGCAGTCTAGTCTTTTTTTACATGTTCCAGGTTAGGAAAACATCTATTGTTGATACTGGTAGATTAAGTTAAGTATGGCCAAACAAGTGCTTTGGTGTAATTCTTAAAGAAATTTGAAAGAAAAATTAAATAACGTCTTAACTTTTTAGTTGTACTCTATTTCAGCTAGAATGATAATACTATGTCTTTGTGGTTCATCTTGACCTACTATGTCTTTGTGGTTCATCTTGACCTACTATGTCTTTGTGGTTCATCTTGACCTACTATGTCTTTGTGGTTCAATTTGGTCAAGATGCCTTGAATCACCTCCTGATCACAATTTCAGCTCATGTCTCTCTATTTGCACTGAATTACGATTTAATGAGTTACAGAAATAGGCTAGAGTGCTTAGCAGATTTTTTTATTATATTTCATCATTGAAGAAAAACTGTAACAGTTTGGTGTAACTTTAAAAATAAAATGTAGGAAACAAAGATAATAAGTGTGGTTTCTCTTTGGCATGAAAAAATTTACTGCTTTTCTCTGAGAATTTTTTCTAGACATTGAATTATCTGTTTTATTTATAATAAATATTCTAGGGAAGTAGTATTAGATTAGCAATTAGTGATAGAATTAGTAACACACAGCATTGGTGTACATAAAGTTAATTGTTTCACGCAGGTAGGTAATAAAAAACACCTATAAAATGATGCACTTTCCACCCCTTGTCCCAGTTAGTTTACACTGAAGCTCACAAAAACTGTAGGAAATAGTAACCAGAAATATCTTGGTATAAAACTCTCCTTAATTTAATTGTGCTACAAGAAATATGTGGAAAAAATCTATTATTTCCACACAAAAAAACAATACGAACAAATAAATATGAAATAAAAGTAGTAGTAACATAATTCTATCAACATGGAAAATGTAACAAACATTTGCATAATTTAGAAACAGAGAAAAAATAAAAATATAAATATACTTTTTACTATTATTATTTTTTATTAATGTTTGTTTATTGTTAACACAAGTAACCCCAGGATTGCCTTAATTGAAGACAGGAGTAAGAATATTACATAACAATCAAGACTTTTGCCATTTCTGCAAAAATAGAACAATATGTTCTTGATTTTTTTTTTGTGTGTATATTGTAAGCTGAGTCAAATTCTTTGAACAAAAAAATATTTATTTACTGTGCAGAAATGCAAATTAGATTACTTTTTAAGTAATTAACAACATAACATTTACTGTGTAGTCATAATGTTTGTTTGATATTATTAACAGTGATATAAACACACTAAGTCATATCTAGACAGTCAGATTCACCTAACCGGCTTTGCTGGGTAACTAACCAGTAATTACAAATTTCTCCACAAGTGACCGACTACATATCCCCAATGATTTGTTTGTTATAATGTAATTTCATTGAACTTCAAGAACAGGATTCTTATAAATAGATCAAGATTTCAGTCATCATTGTATATTTTTACAGATGTACAAAACAAGACTCATGTAAGGCAGGAAGTGTAACCCCTTCTTGGTTGCCGTCCAGGAATGGTGTGTGTGCAGGCATGAAGGATGTGTTCCCGAACATGTTGTCTATACCAGCACTGAAACAGGAAGACAAAGTAAGTTTGGTTTAGTTTAACCTTTCACCTCCTGCAACAGACAGAGTGATTAGTACCAGGCCAGCCTATACTTCTGTGTATATAAATATTAAAATCCCAGAAGCTTAGAACGGACTGTTCCAAAGTCAGAGCAAGGGAAATCCATTACATAAATTGAGCAGGTCACTTCAACCTCCCCCACTCCCCCCCCCTTCCCCCCCCCCAAAAAAAAAACCAACAACAAACAAACCCAAACATAAAACGTATCATATCTCGTTAAACATTATTTCAACTAAGTTGTGTGAGAAAGTCTTAAACATACTAAATTTTGTGTACGGTAATGGACTTAACTTCAGAGACATTCAATTACTTACTTGTTTAAGGGGTTGCCAAATAAAAATATTGAAATTGATATGTCTACAGTATAGAATCTGGTCAAACACCTATCGTGTCCAATTATTTCATACCCTTTCTAAATTTTGTTCATCTGTTTAGTTTATACAAAAAACAAACTGGAAATATCCATTGTTCTTTGAATGATAAAGTACCAGTACCTAAATAGATTCCATATTAAGTTTTTGTAGAGTTTCATAAAATTTTATAAACTTCTAGTCTGAGGATCATATATTTGAAGATTTCTTTTTTTCTATTTTTCAGTTTGCAAATTAGAATGTAAGACACTTCTCTATAGCCAAACTTCATTTACTTTGTGGCACCTGTAAAACTCATTTATGTAAAATAAAGCCTAGAAGAATTTGATTAGCCAAGTTATTCTTCATTTTAACTAAAACCATGTGTTAAAATAAAGAGCTTCATGCTAGGATCACATGAAGAATGCTCTATTACAGTGTAGCTAATACTTCCTAATAGCTTGTAGTCTATGTCACCAGGAAAGGTTTTGGTCTGCTGCACATTTGTCCAGTCTAACTAAAATTTCTTCTACTTATTGACTGCTTTTTATACGCCCGTTTGAAAAACGGGACGTATTATGGGAACGCCCCTGGCAGGCGGGCGGGCGGGCGACGTCCAATTTTGTCCGGAGCATATCTCCTACATGTATGGAGGGATTTTAACGAAACTTCATAGAAATGTTCACCACTATGAGGAGCAGTGTCGCGCACATGAACCAGGTCTCTAGGTCAAAGGTCAAGGTCAAACTTAGAGCTCATTGAAAATTGCTTGTCCGGAGCAAAACTTCCACATGTATAGAGGGATTTCAATATTACTTGGCACAAATGTTTACCATTGTGAGGCAGAGTGTCGCGTGCAAGATTCAGGTCCTTGCGGCCAAGGTCAAGGTCACACATAGAGGTCAAAGTTCAGATAAAAATATGAAGATGTGTATATGGACCATTTAGTCATCATTTATTGAGGGATTGTAACACAAATGGTCATTATCAAGACTATGGCTGTGACACATGTACTTTAGGTCAATATATGCAAGGTCAAGGTCACTAAAGATGATGAAATATCCAGATTTTGTCCGGAGCATATCTCCTACACACATGGAGGGATTTTAATGAAATTTCATAGAAATGTTCACCATTATGAGAAGCCATGTCACGCACATGAACTAGGTCTCTAGGTCAAAGGTCAAGGTCACACTTAGAGCTCATTGAAAAACGCTTGTCCGGAGCAAAACTTCCACATGCATAGAGGGATTTCAATATAACTTGGCACAAATGTTCACCATTGTGAGGCAGAGTGTCGCGCACAAAATTCAGGTCCCTGCAGCCAAGGTCAAGGTCACACATAGAGGTCAAAGTTTAGATAAAAATATGAAGATGTGTATAGGGACGATTTAATCATCATTTATTGAGGGATTGTAACACAAATGGTCATTATCATGACTACGGCTGTGACACATGTACTTTAGGTCAATATATGCAAGGTCAAGGTCACTAAAGATGGTGAAATATCCAGATTTTGTCTGGAGCATATCTCCTACACGCATGGAGGGATTTTAATGAAATTTCATAGAAATGTTCACCATTATGAGAAGCCATGTCACGCACATGAACTAGGTCTCTAGGTCAAAGGTCAAGGTCACACTTAGAGCTCATTGAAAAACGCTTGTCCGGAGCAAAACTTCCACATGCATAGAGGGATTTCAATATAACTTGGCACAAATGTTCACCATTGTGAGGCAGAGTGTCGCGCACAAAATTCAGGTCCCTGCAACCAAGGTCAAGGTCACACATAGAGGTCAAAGTTTAGATAAAAATATGAAGATGTGTATAGGGACGATTTAATCATCATTTATTGAGGGATTGTAACACAAATGGTCATTATCATGACTACGGCTGTGACACATGTACTTTAGGTCAATATATGCAAGGTCAAGGTCACCAAAGATGGTGAAATATCCAGATTTTGTCTGGAGCATATCTCCTACATGTATGGAAGAATTTTTATAATACTTTATGGAAATATTCACCACCATGATATGTATTGCTCCATGCATGATCCAGGTCTCCAGGTCAAAGGTCAAGGTCACACTTAGAGCTCATTGAAAAACGCTTGTCCGGAGCAAAACTTCTACATTATAGGGGGATTTCAATATAACTTGGCACAAATGTTCACCATTGTGAGGCTGAGTGTCGCACGCAAAATTCAGATCCCTGCGACCAAAGTCAAGGTTACACATAGAGGTCAAAGTTCAGATAAAAATTTGAAGATGTGTATAGGGACCATTTAGTCATCATTTATTGATGGATTGTAGCACAAATGGTAACTATCATGACTACAGGTGTGACACATTTAATTTAGGTTAATATTTGCAAGGTCAAGGTCACTGGAGATGATTAAATATCCAGATGTTGTCCGGAGCATATTTTCTACATGCATGGAGGAATTTTAATGTTACTTTATAGAATTGTTCACCACCATGAGACGTAGTGCCCTGCACATGAACCAAGTCTCTATAGGTCAAAGGTGAAGGTCACAGTTAGAGCTCATAGAAAACGCTTGTCTGGAGCAAAACTTCTACATGCATAGAGGGATTTCAATATAATTTGGCACAAATGTTCATCATTGTGAGGCTGAGTGCCGTGCATAAAATTCAGGTCCCTGCGACCAAGGTCAAGGTCACACATCCTGTGCATATCTTCCCTACTGATTTGTTTTAAGGTTCATTTAACAACACAGTGCCAAGAATAAAAACTTGCTTGCTAGATAACACTTATCCATAATGCCCCCATCTCCATCTAAAGCTTTCGTAAACGGGCGTATTTTGTGACTATGGCACCCTTGTTTGTATTTCTATCTTGAAATCACTGAACTCACAAAAAAAGACAATCCCTGTTTGAAGTTACAAAAAAGACCATGTCAAATTTATAACAGGGCAAGTTATTTAACACAAAAATCTAAGACAAAATTAGTTAAAACAAGAATGTTCATTACCCTGGAGTATTCTTTCAAAAGCACTATGTTGAGTTAACCACAAATAATTTGAATCGCATACTTTACATATTAAAATAGAGGAAATCAGAAACTGGCATACAATTAGTCACTTCGCTCACTGGGGTTTTCTTTCATTGTATTGATTGATCAGTTCTTTGATTTCATAAAATTATAAATAATCAGTTTTGTATATGTTTGATTTCAGATCAGTTTCAAACTGGACAAGATAACTCTTGCTGATGCCAGTGACCTTGACATTCACTGTAGTTTTGTTGTCATGGATACAAAACATAAAACCATGGCAACAGTTTCTGGGGACAGAATTGTGTGCCCACTACCAAAGAGAACCAATCTTCCATCTTTACCTGTTGGAAGAGGTATATAATTATTATAATTTTATTAAAATTGAAATTCAGGGCATATTTATTTAGATTTATAAGGCATGAATAATCTGCTTCATTCTGGATTGAAATTATTTCAGGTTGAAGACAAGTTAATTTGTTTTGCACATTGTCATAAATAATCATGTTATTTAGAATATTCAAAACTGCAAGAGTTTTTTTTGTTTGTTTTTTTGATATAAATTTGCAAAATGAGTCAGAATATGAAACTCATCTCTAAGAAAGTCACATGAGTTTGCATATAGCTGGCAGAAGATGAATGATTTTACCAAAATACTAGTTTATGACTGAAATTATGAGTGGAAAAATGTTTCCTGGTACCAGTAATAGCTAGAAAATGTCCTAAATAGTGTTAGTGTCTACTCCTTTGTTTGACTGAAAATCCGACATGCCAAAAAAAACAAAAAAAAATTGAAGAAAAAAAAACAACAAATAAAATGTAGTTCTTGAGTCATACAAGTTGCACTTTTAGTCAATTATCTGTTTTTAGTGTCATGATTAGATATTTTTTCTGCCCTCATATTTACAGATAAGTTTTTGCCCTCATATTTAGTGATTATTTTTGCTCTCATTTTTTCCCCTCATAATTTTAGATTATTGCCCACTCATATTTGGCCCTCATAATTGGAGATTATTTTTTGCCCTCATTTTTTTGCCCTCATATTTAGGGACTATTATTTTTATTTATTTTTTTTTGCCCTCATATTTAGAGATTATTTTCTAATTTCAGTGCATCTGGGAGGAGGTAACTATCCTGATATTGTAGCACAGAGCTTTATTTCTTTACCTTGTTTCATTTCTCTTTCTTCACTAGGTTTATGGGTTCCTCCAGTCTTCTTTTTCGATGTTTTTTTGCATTTTGTCTCCTCAGCACGAGGCTATTGAATCTGCTTCTTATTGATATATATAATGTAGAAATAGCCTCTTGTTGATTGAGCAATTTATGTTAGTTTTAATGCTCATATTTTCAAACATGCAAAAACATTTTAATATTTTCTTGCAAAATTAAAAGTGGATTCAGCAATAAATTGATGATGTGTACTTTAGACTGATTAAGATCATTACTGGATAGCATTTTCTCCACGTTCATGATTAAAGTAATTACGTTTACGATTTACATGAATTGATCAGGATTTATAGGAACTGATCACGAAAATGGGAAAATTATACAGCCAGAGATGTGAATTGTGCTCATGAAAATATGAAAATTATGCTTGCTTTCTAGTATAATTGTTCCCTATGACAATTTTCCTCTTCTAAATTTTCTAGAACTTTTTTCTCTTTAACTATCTATAAGTTTTTTTTGTTTGTTTATAACTTTGTTTGTTATTTGATTAACACAAGTTCTGAATGTTGTTTATGAAAAGTTTGTCTGTTTCAAAATTATTTTTTTTATATTTTTTGTTGTTGTTGTCATAAGGAGCAGCAATGTTACTTCTTTGCAGAAATATCAACATAAAGCTGACATATATAAAACAGTGACATCTTTATAGACTTCAATTCCTCAATAAAAAGTTTTGTTGATTTAAAATTACTTACCAATTACAATTTTGTTTTGAACAAGTAAGCTTGCATATTTAATGTTCCTAATTTAACCTCTTCTATTAAAGTACCTGAACTTATGCAGAGCATTTTTTTTCATTTAAAAACCTTGAAAGGAACCAACAGTTTTGTTTTGCCTTAAATTCCAATTATAATTAATTCTTTTATGGCTTGTTCAGAAAGGGCGAGAGAATACCATTGCTAGTTTGATCAAAGATTTAGCAGTCTTGTGACACCATATGATTTAAAGAATAAAGAGCACAACTGACACCTGTTTTTATGTCAGCTTTATTGGGATATATCTGGTTTAAAATTGTTCAATATATACATGGTCTGCTTTTAATTATCAAATATTTTTGGTCACTGCTAAGCTTACAATGTAATTTTATGAAAGGAAAGGTGCAAATAGATATTATCCAGAACTCAGCAATTGTGGATTTTTTCCAAACTAATCCCTCACACATACAAACAAATTTTTACTGTTATAGCTACACTTAGCACAAATGTTCACAATAGATTATTTAACCTGTTGTGCATAATTATAGCTTTGTAACTGTAAAAGTTTGTTTTAACCCCTTTGTCAGATGTAATCATGTGAAAACTTTTTTCTTTTAACATTATACATATAAACACTATTAAATGATTATATTCTGTCAGTAATTGAGATTTCAATAGTGACCTTTTACTTTGAATTTGTTGTTACAATAATTTAAGACCATGAATATACATGTACATATAGTATTGTTATAAAAAGCTAGTTTGACACATTCATTTCCTAACTAAACCAATAATAACATATCTACATATTAATTGAATATAGAAAACAATAAGTACATATACTTGTCAAGTTTTTTAGGTCCTATGTTTTGCATTTACTTTTCAGATACTTGATTAGAATGTTTTGTCGCGGTAATATTCAGGATAAGCATAGATATTGCTCATCTTTGGTAAAAAAAGTAGGTCAGTAGGTCAAATAAAAGGGAAAAAGGATAGGGTGAAGGTTAGGGGTTTCGGGTTGCTAGTGTCATGGTTCAGGTTTATAGGGTCAATGTCAGAGTTTTGTTAAGGTCAGGGGTTTCAGGTTAATAAGGTCAAGGTAATAAGTTTTAAATTGATAGAGTTAAGATTAAGTATTTCAGATTGATAGGGTCAAGGTAAGGGCTTTCAGGTTGACAGTGTCATGGTCAGGGCTTTCAGGTTGATAGGGTAAAAGGTAAGGGCTTTCAGGTTGACAGTGTCATGGTCAGGTTGATAGGGTAAAGGTAGGGGGTTTCAGGTTGACAGTGTCATGGTCAGGGTGTTCAGATTGATAGGGTCAAGGTAGGGGGTTTCAGGTTGCTATTGACAATGTCAGGGATTTAGGTTTGACATGGTTAAGGTCAGGGGTTTCAGGTTTATAGGGTCAAGGTCACTGAGGATAAAAAAATATTTTCTTACTTTTTCTTCTGATGAAATCATATTGTTAGCTTTGTGAAAGCTAGGAAAGTAGGAAAGTTCATTTGTGTTACCAATATTCTGCTAAAGTATGAGCTTTCCCATAATGGTTATATAAACTGTATCTCGCATTTCATAAAATATTCTGTAGCGTGTATACTGTAAATAATTAAAACAAAGTGTAATAGATGGTTGTCTGTGGAATTTATGAGGGAAGCTCATAATTGGTTATTGATGTAGATTTTATCATCTGTATTTTATATTTTATTATCAATGATCAAGTATTGTTATGTAAGTTGCCTAGCTTTTCTGTTCTGTTTATAGTATATGGTTAGTCGGTATTCTTGATTTTTGTTGGGATTTATGATTTTCCGCTCTTTTTTTTTTCCTATTTTATTTTTTTGTTGTTTTTTTTGCCGTTTTTTTTTGTGTGTTTTTTTCCGGTCATTATAAGGCTCAAATTGTGAGGATTATTTTGATGAATAGCTTTGTAAAGTCAATACAAGATTCATTTTAAATTGATCTGCTGTAAACTGTTTTAGAATTTGTTAAGAACAGCCCTGACTGACAAGTCTAAGTTTATTTCTGCATTGTCTTGAAATTCTTTTAAGTGATGCATATAGCAGTAATTAATTGCTTACCTCCCTTTAAATTCTGAAAAGCCTGTACCCTCAGTATAGAGTCAAGCAAGCCTGTGAATCAGGCATTCTACTTCTGGGTACACAGTAATAGTATTTTGATATTGAAATGCATTGAACTTATTCCATATATAAAGCAGCTCAAGGGGTGTCATGGATATAAAAATATGTTAACGGTTTAAACTGTGACATAATAACTTTGTTAAATGTTATACCGACCATAGTAATAAAATCCTTAGATTTTCAACATTAACTTTGTTATTTATTACAAGATATGACATTTTTTTTGTATTATGCTAAAATGATAACAATACATATATCTAAATAAGGAGTAACTATATCCTGTTAGGGTCATACCATGCCAAAAAAGTACATTGTTGAGTACAACTAAAAACAAATAAATTGTCTCATCTTGTTATATTAAAATTAAGGTTATATTTAGAATCATTTGCCTCTTTGTCAAATGCTTACCTTTGTTAGCGGTTATTGAATATTCTAACTTTTTTTTGTTTTGTTTTATTTTGCTAAAAATCAACCATACCCATTTTAATTGATAAACGTGAAACCCCTTAGATCAAGTCAGTTAAGCAAGGTATGGGTTAGAAAACATTTTTAATTATCACTAGTAGACTAAAGTTACTTAATGATTCTATTTGCATGAAAAATATTGTGTATTTAATTTCATTGTGTACATATAATTTGAAAAAAAATACACCATAAAACATGTTTATCATTATTGTTTAAACATTTCATTTTTAGCTCGACTATTCGAAGAATATGAGAGCTATTGTAGTTGCCCCGGCGTCGGCGTCTGCGTTGGTTAAAGTTTTTTGTAAAGTCAAATATCTCAATTATTACTTGAGATATTCAATTGAAACTTACAATACTTATTTATAGTAACAAGGTACATCAGATTGACAAGTTGGATAACTCTGCCTACAATATTGACAGAATTATGCCCCTTTTTAACTTAGAAATTTTAGTTCAGTTTTTTGTAAAGTCAAATATCTCAATTATTGCTTGAGATATTCAATTGAAACTTACAATACTTATTTATAGTAGCAAGGTACAACAGATTGACAAGTTGGATAACTCTGCCTACAATATTGACAGAATTATGCCACTTTGGAACTTAGAAATTTTGGTGAAAGTTTTTTGTAAAGTCAAATATCTCAATTATTTCTTGAGATATTCAATTGAAACTTACAATACTTATTTATAGTAACAAGGTACATCAGATTGACAAGTTGGATAACTCTGCCTGCAATATTGACAGAATTATGCCCCTTTTTAACTTAGAAATTTTAGTTCAGTTTTTTGTAAAGTCAAATATCTCAATTATTGCTTGAGATATTCAATTGAAACTTACAATACTTATTTATAGTAGCAAGGTACAACAGATTGACAAGTTGGATAACTCTGCCTACAATATTGACAGAATTATGCCACTTTGGAACTTAGAAATTTTGGTTAAAGTTTTTTTGTAAAGTCAAATATCTCAATTATTGCTTGAGATATTCAATTGAAATTTAAAATACTTTTTTATAGTAGCAATGTACATCAGTTTGCAAAATTGCATAACTCTGCCTGCAATATTTGCAGATTTATTTGCCCCTTTGAAACTTAGAAATTTTGGTTAAAGGTCTTCAAAGATATTTACTTGAAACTTTACACATGCACTTAGAGTCATAATTGGAGGTTCATAATTGTATGTCACTGACTCCATATGTTCCATAACTCTATCTTGCATTAAGGCTGATTCATATCCCCTTTTCTACTTAGTCTCTTGGTTAATGTTTACATGCAAGTTTTACATATCTCAATAACTATTAAAGATATTTATTTAAAACTTCACATATGCATTTAGGGTCATAATTGTAGGTCACTGACAAAGATCCATAATTCTATCTTGCATTAAGGCTGATTTTTCTCCCCTTTTTCAACTTAGAAATTCATGGAAAAGTTTTGCTTGTAAGCTGTTATCTCAATAACTACTGAAGGGTTTGTGCCTTTTTTGGGACAATTTTATGCATTCATATTAATAAAGCAGTGATTTACTTGATAAAACATCTTAATAACAAGCCTTTGTACTTTTCTGTCAAATTTATGTATTCATAGTAATTAATATTATTGTACTCAATAAAAACACCCTTGTGACATTTCCTTCCAAATAGTCAAGCCAAAACTGTATAATTAGACTCTCTCTAAGGCCAATAACATGAATTTATAAAAAAAAATTAGCCCTTTTGTGAACTTAAAAAATTTAACATTATCAAGTCTCTTTTACTATCATGCACTTAGAATAGTCGAGTGTGCTGTCCTACCGACAGCTCTTGTTATAAGTGACTATGTTTAATATTTCTATAGATCATGGGGTACTGGAGGTGGAGTTTCAAGTGGAGGGAAAGACGGTCGTGAAACGAGATCTATCCCTGTATAACTGTCAATTAAATCAGAAGTAAGAGTTACTATTTGTCACAATAATTAGATTATATTATCAAAATATGTCTTGTAGATCAAGTCCAGAATTTTAATTTTCGAAAGAAAAAAAAGGTTCCTTTTTTATCCAACAATTATATCACATTAAGATTGAGAAATACAGACTGACATTAGATATAATAATTGCTTATTCTAGGTGAAGTGCTTTAACGCTAACCACATTAAATATCAAAAATGAACTTTTTTCCATGTTTCAATGTAGTCATAACTATTCATTATTTTAAACGAGGTTTTATAATATGTATTGACTGAAAAGTGAGACAATGCAGACCATGATTAGATGGCAAAGATTGATCTTTGTCTGCACTGGTCTAAAAGGTAGATTCAGCTACGGTCAGCAAGCTAAGATGTGAACATAACAATTGAGTATAATAGAATAATTAACCATATTTTGGTTACAGTTGTACCGGCTGTACAGATAGTTCATTTGGATGTAAATGGTGTCATTTTCGGGGAATGTGTGTCGATGCTGCTGCTGGCGACTGTATAAATCAGGTAAGAGAAACAACAAATTACCTGAGGTAGAAGTACGATGCCATGACAAAAATGGCAATGATTTTGTTTTTTCAATTAAGGAATTTGTACAATATTTGGTTTTTTTTAATTGGCTTATTTGAAATAGAATTTTATGAATACATATCTCTTTATCTGCTGGATTTTTTTAAATGTATATCACAATGAAACTTTAGAAGTTTGTCAGTCAGCAGTATAGTTGTTGGTAAGGTAACAGAGGCATCTGACAAAGTTCTTCTGACAACTGGCAAAGACACACAGTTTTGGTTTTAGCAGTGTATCAGTACTTCAGGCAACTGGCATTTGGCTGTAAACAGCATTGTTATGGTTCTTTTCCAGTTCAGTTATTTTTCAGGCTCAAATGTGATTGAATGTAGTAAGTAAAAGGACAAGTTGTTTAGATTGGTTGTTGACATAGAATATTTGCCACTTACCTTTTTTTGTTGAATAATTTACTAGAAAGCGGTTTTGTGGAACATCACAGATGCTGGCCATTGCATAATAAAGTCTACCTTTACCAATGGGTAGGTTGACAAATTGTCATATGACCTCATCGGTATCTTCGTGTGCCTCATCACAATGTTATATTTCACATTACAGACAGTTCCAGCTATAACGTCATCCAGTAAATGTCCTAGATTAGAGACGACAGCTGGCGATACAGATGTTGTGGTGCATTCTGGGCAATATAAGAAAATTGCTGTACGAGTCACAGATTTATTGGTAAGATCAGTCACTTATTTACTTTAGTTTCTAATTACTGTAAAATAATTATTATTCGTGGGGCACGAATTTTCGTGGTTTTCGTGGGTAGGTCAGTCCACGAATTTAAGATCCGACGAACTTTTATCCCAACAAATTTATACTTCCTACCCAGTCTCTGTTCTATATATATTACAAACATGCGTCGGCTCTTTTCCGACATGGATGTAAATACAGACAGATAATCAGGTTAGTGACATATTAAATCCGTTTGCAATATTTAAGAAACTTGAAAGAAAACTCGATTATATGTCCTCAATTTACTGTCACAAATGTCGCATATACATACTTGATCGTTGTAGTCTACTAGGACTTGATTGTGTTAACAAGAATACTTGACATAATCGAGTAAATATGGGAACCCAGGCAGTGCTATAATTATCGCTAATAAAAATTGTCAGTTTGCTTTTATTAATTAAAAAAAGTCTTTGATATTAATGTCGTAGGTACACAAAACTATAAAAAAAATACGATCGCTAAAACAGATTTATTAGTCCCCTACCGGTTTAACTGGAGGGGACTTTAGGTTTACCCTCCGTCCGTCTGTCAGTCCATCCGTCCACAAAACTGGATCCCGCGATAACGCAAAAAGTACTGAAAATATTTTTATGAAACTTGATATATGGATAGATGGCAGTATGGAGATTATGCACGTCTTTTTCTTTTCTTCCTATGTTGAAAATTCTGGTTGCTATGGCAACAAATAGGCTGAAAATATGGCAAATTTAACACATAAACTGGATCCAGTGATAACTCAAAAAGTACTGAAAATATTTTTATGAAACTTGAAATATGGGTAGATGGCAGTCTGGAGATTATGCACATCTTTTTCTTTTCTTCCTATGTTGAAAATTCTGGTTGCTATGGCAACAAATAGCCTGAATTTCAAGATTTCTGATTTAATTTTTTAAGCTTTTTCACTATAAGTTCTTTATTTCTTAAGGTGTTTACATTAATATTTAAATATAAGTTTCTGGTCATCAACCACATCATAAGTGACAAGGTTTACAACTCTAGCACAAAAATTATCAGTATTACCTCCCTTGAACTTAGAATTTTTATGAAAAAAAATGTTGTCTTTTTTAAATAACTTCTTTATTTCCTAATGTATCTACTTCAAACTTCATATATATGTTTCTTATTATCACTCAACATTTTTGAGAAGGTTAAATACTCTAGCAAGACTATTTCCAGAATTATGTCCCCCTTGAACTTAGATTTTTTTCGAGAAATTGGTATTTTTCTATCCAACTTCTTCATTCCTATGATTTACTTTAAAATCCCACATCGTAATAATATGACAAGGTTGTATAAACATAATTTCCTTACTAGGCAGGGAAACTTCACATTACTGTGATATAGACAAACTTAGAACTCAAAAGATTTAAGTTCATTCATGTCATTCATTCACTGGTAAAATTGAATGGCCAATGGCCCATCAGAATGTTGCTTGGGTTCTAACCGGTAGGGGACTTATGGATTGCTTGCAATACTATGATAATTGCTTGTTCTACATTCTTTTGTCATTTTTAAATGATCAAGTTTATATGAATTTTAATCCGTATTTGTGCGAATGCTATTCCGTAAACATCAAAGACGCCACCGACATTTACAAGATTCACATATACTCGTGTTATTTACCGAGATTATTATATATGCATGTAAATTTACACAGTCGCTGTAACGTTGCGTGTAGTTTCTGTCAAATATGTTGTGTAAACTTTTAAAACATGTCAGGTGTTGTATAAATTATGCGATGTTTACATCGGCGAATTACAGGGGCAGTGTGTCCAATGGAGGTACATATCATGTCACATAAATGTGTTAATTGCAGTCAATTATCTTTTAAAACAATTTTTTTTTAACAAGAAAACGAAAATCCACGTAATTTAAGAACCCACGAAAATGCCCGTATTGATAAAACCACGAAATTTCATGCCCACGAATATAAGTGAATTCGCAGTACTTTATCTTACATTATTAGAACCCGTTAAAAATCTTTATCATAACAAGTGGCCATTTTCCAAATACCAGAACTTCATGATAAGAACTATTTAATGTAAAAACGAGGGGATGGGGATTAATGTTTGTAACAAGCTTTTTAACAAATTCAAACTGACAAATAAAGAGATTTTGTTTATTTAATTGTGTGGGAGAATTTCAACCATTTTTTTTATCTTTGAAATTTTTATTTTATCTTTAAAATTTACATTATTAGCAGGTTGGGTAATTAATTTCATAAAACATAACATCAACAGGGGAATAATTACATAAAACCAGCAAGGGAGTTAAATAATTTGATTTAAGTGGTAGCGGAGATAAATGATTACATAAAGTCATCACAGGGAGATAATTACAGAAGAGATAATTCATTACATCAATTTAAGTGTGGAGATGATTGCTCTCTCGATTTTTACTTTCAGCCAGACCAGCTAACAAACATTTTGTGCTTGTTCTCATATGAAGGAGACGTTAAGTTTACACCAGGCCCGTATAACAGCATCCAAGTTGATC